GCAGTCTCTATGGCAAACTCAAAAGCTCAATGGATAGAACAAAACATCCATAGAGATGGTGAAAATCATGACTAACTAGAGTATCGTTTTGTGAACGTGCATATCATCGCTACTTCTACATCACTCCTAGTTGAATACTATACAAATACATAGGAATTGTGGGGTATTATAATCATGTCGCCGATTATAAAAGGAAAAACATAGAGGAATAAAAAGGTAAGTTCCAAAAGCCAACCCCGCTTCGTCCGCACAAAGGAAGCAACCGCAAACATAATATGATCACAATCATTAAAAAAAAAGAAAAGAAATGCATAAATAGGAGAGAAGGGACTGAACAGAGCTCACGCTTCTCGTGGAGGTAGGCGCCAAGCGAACACGCCCCAACTCTTCATGATCTCCTTGCCAAAATAATATTGTTTGGCTTGCTTGAAGTAAGATCACAAAACCCATAACATTATTGTCAATTCTGTACAAAATCCAAGGGAAGATAAATCCACCGCTTAGACTTACTTGACCAAAATTATTGTATTTCTTTTCAAGCTCACCAATATTCTTCAGCCTTGGTCTTCTTCAACTTTATTTCTTCGATATGTGAGACGCCGATGAAGGAAGCTCCAGTGTTTAATATCACGGACGGAAGAGAGCATCGTGAGGGCTTCTCAGGAGTAATGGAGATGTCGGCTTCCCTGGAGGCTTGACTGGTCGCGGAGACAAGATGTTGGACTGTAGGTACGCTGGTGATTTCGTTGCTGGTCGTGGACAAAGGCACCGGTAAACCTGCAAGAAAGCACCGATCGCGGACAAAGGCACTGGTAAACCTGCAAGAAAGCACCGAGAAACTCAAGAGGACTAGCTGGAAGGTTCACCAGACTAGTGGTGGGGCTGGATTCGCGGTGGCTCAACACTCCTCGGGTCGATTTGAGCATGCAAAGATTGCAGGAACTGGCGTCAGTGCATATTGCGTCGGTGTGGTTCGGATGGTGCAGCTGGTGCAGCATGGAGACGGATGTGAGACGCAGTGCAGCAGAGACTGGAGCCATCACAGCGTCATCGGGATGGAGGTCGTGTGGGGAAAGCCTCCGCGGCCTTGGCTACAATGATGCTCTGTTGAAGAAGTGAAGGCGTGGAATTGGAGTGTGAAGCGTGAATATTTCGAGAGAGACACCCTTTGCCCTTCTTTCAAGCTTTGAAAGAGTTTCCACCCTTTGTGAAAGCAAACGCTTTCCACTCTAAATTTTGGCCGTTCCCCTCTTGAGAAGCAATAGTCCTCCTCCCTTCTCTTTACATAATAGAGTTTATATAGGGCTGACAATTAGGGTTTCTTTCAAGAGTAAGAGATGTCCCTCGTTTCCTAATAATTCGAATTCTAAAAGACATACTCTATCTTAACAATAAGAAACTCTTCTCTTCTCTTATTGTGATAATATCAAATCAATTTGCTCAATTATCCTCTAAGATTTGAATTTTGATAATATCAAGATTAATCGCCCCCAAGTTTTCTTTTTCTTTTCATAGATTAATTTTCCAATTTGACATTTAATTATGCAATTTTCGACTCCTTGGCATCGATGGTCTTGGCAAAATTTCATGCTCTTATGGGCTCAATCCAATTAATCCAATTAAGTTCACAACCATTCATGTAAGTCCGTTTGTCGACGATCCAATTTAAATGTAAAGATAAGCGGCCTTATCACTAGTAATTAAAATGCTCATAGTATCTATGCACATATTTAACTAATATTTTTGTCTAGATTTTGGAATAATCCTTAATTGTTTATTCAACGAACAATTAAATATGTTATCAAAATTTAGATGTCGACGGATTCATGTTTCAGAGGAAGCTCCTAGGGTCACCCCGTTTCGGTGACCCCCTGGGCTTCATTAATACCTCCATTTGGATTTTTTGGGCCAACCATTAACTCCTCCTTGAACCACAGAACAAGTGCAAATCTCTCTCTCCCTCTCTTCTGAATATATTGTACACACGACAGCTGGATGCTGGCGAACCAGATGTCTTTCTTTGATGGCTTAGCTCTCTGAAGAGTGATAATGGACAAGATGTAGAATTCCCAAAAGTTCTTTACGGCTGCAGTTTACACAAACTTAGAAAAGAAAAAAGGAACATCTGGTGGGTAGCCAGCCATATTTCGATGCCTAAGATAATCTAGATCTGCAATGTATAACCCTCCTGCTGGATAGAGCATACACACTCCACTTGAATAAAAAATAGAAAACGAAAGAGATGGATCTAATCGGTGAAACTATCGAATCTCATTGCTGTGCTCTCCATCTAGTAGGTTGCTTCAATGGGCTGGAATTACAAAACTGCCCTGCGCTTTTGACCTTTTTTTATTTCTTTGAGACAGAACATTTGACTCCAATGCCAAGTTGTTGACACCCAAACATATACCAAGTCATGATGGGTCGATGTTAGGTTGTCGATGGAACCAGCAGGATCGGTGAATAGCCGATGCCAAATTAATGTCACGAGACCCATGGTCATCTAAGAAGAGTAGTAGGCCAGGATGGTCGTCGACGTGCAATGATAAACGGTCAGTAGTAAGCGAAGACTAGAAAAAAGTCAAGCTCAAGGACATGCCGAATAATATAATTGCTTATGATAAGAACGAGCAGTTAAGGACGATCTACATGAAGCCAGGTTAGTTGTAATTTGTAATTTAACAATAACCGCACGATGACAGTTCTATTTTGTACAAGGCTATATAATGCCAAGAGGCATTAGTTGTAAATGATCTGCAATCCATAACATTTGTGCAATTTTTATCCAATTCCAGTTTCCAGTTTTATCGATTTGCTATTCTTTATTCTTTAAATTCTCTAGATTCGCTTTAGTTACCATTAGTAATCCTTATTACGCAAATTAGTTCCTATCAGAATCGCCACAAAGCCCAATTCATATTAAAAATTAAAGATCAAACTTTTGCTAAAAGGTATTTCATCGTCCGCGATCCTATTTCGGCAAAACGCAAGACTACTAATCAAAACTTTAAACCCAGATCTCCTCTAGACAACTAAAACAGAAGAAAGAAAGTCAGAAAGATTGACAAAGGAAAATCAATCTCCCCCGTCCAATGAACTAGTGACAACCACAGCGATAGTCGTTGGAGTTCCAAGAAGTGAACTTGATCAAACCCCAAGCTCGTCGATCACACTTGATCAAACCACGATGGTTATTCGGGATGCCAGACACCGCTTTGCTTTCAGTCGGCTTGCTACAGGTGAGTTGACGGTGGGATACGCCTTAAGTAACAAAGAAGAATTGCTTGAGACGACATTAATAGAGGGAAATTCTCAAAATGTTGTTATACATGTGTCACTTTGATGGCCAAGCATTTACACAAAACACCTTTTCTATGCATATTTACTCATGACCATTATGAATAAGATATGAAACCTTATGTATTTCGTGATATCAGAAAATTTAAGTTTAACGTTATATTCCTAAATCTCAAATGCCCAAGCCAAATTATGTGCATATTCGCAAAATAGATTAGATGACCCTTGTACCATACTAAAGGGAGTGACTAATGCTACTACATCGCTCATATATTATAGTAATTTTGCAGCACCTCGCTCCTAGAAAATTATGCATGTATACCAATATATCTCGAAAGACCGCATGGTGCGCGACGCAAAAAAAGCTGTCATGCATTCACGCACGTTTCTTCCGCACGTGGCATTTGCCTTGCACACGCGTACAGTCTTCTGCAACTCTGTGCGGGGATGACCAGTTAATGACCTGCTGTGTTTTTTCTTTCGGGTCGAATTTAAAGACACAGAAAATCCGACCCTTTTGGAGCGCAATTAAAGCTCTATTTTTTTATTTTGTTAAATATTAATCATCGAAAATCCTGATTAAATTCTGTAGTAGTCCCTGATTTATTGAGAGATAGACCCAATAACAGAAAAGCTTCTGAATAACTCTATAGCCAGTCAAATGCATTCTCGTGTAAATGCATAATAACTCGAAATTGCACGCAATCAAACTGTCATTAAGATCGGAAATAGAATCACGAAGCTTACCCATGCATCTACTAGCCTAATGATGGTCCAATTATGAGGAATTTTTACCATTAACACTCGATAAAATTACGAGGAGTTTTACCTATGCATGTAGGTGCCCCGAATGGAATTGATTCGAAATTAAAGGCACAAAATGACCGACATCGCTGTGGGTAATATGATAATCAATCCAATATAGACATATGAACAGAAATCGACATCCAATTTGAAGCTTGTCTATTAGGTCTAAAATTTATTCCAAAAATTTCTGAAACTTCTAGATCGCAATTCCCACGACCCAGATCATATCACGACGTGAAATTAATAGAATAGAACTAATATTCAACGTAGAAAAGAACCCCCACAAATTGATAAAAAGTCCTAACGGATTATGGTTCAAAATCACCATTTTCCTATTTATTTTAGACTGTGGTCTTTTGGGCAAATGGTTTGGTATTTTCTACGTTTTACTAGACAATGATAAGAACATAATCATGACTCGCAAAAAGAAAAAACACTCAAATTTCGACATTTTATTACCAGAAGAAAAGAGATCACGTCAGTAAATGAAAGCACACATAGGGAAGAAGCAATTGCAAATTGCCCCTTGACCGAGCAAAATATTGAGTTTTTCATGTACTTTTCGAGCCACCACGTGACTATCTCAACCAATCATGGTCGCCACGTGACCGATCAAATCACTGAGACTTCCTCACAATAATATGCTAGGCAAAGCCAACAAAGATCAAAACATTAATTGACTCATCATTATTACAAATTCAAGTATTTATGAAATAATCGGTATAAGCAGAAACCTTGAATCCAGTCATTGCAATTATTTGCTAGGAAATCTACATGAAACACATGCAAATCATTAACCTCTTTATCATCATTAGGGATGACACATGATATAGTTCAGAACTCTTGAGCTCAGACACATCAATAACACATCAAGAATAACTCAAAGTTCAAAAAGCTAGAACAAAAAATAAGCTCGATTATTGGATATGTTGATGACAAAAATTAGCATCAGAAAAGTGATGCCTACACAGTTTATGCCGTAAATTATCTTAACAATCTGATTATCAAGTTAAAGCATGAAATGGACTTCTGATCACAGCTGCAACCCTCAGTAAGCACATGAACATCCGGGCAAAAATTGATCCGGACAAGTATCACGCTTCCTTTCGTGGGTCCCTTGATGAAATTCTGTGATTGGAAAAGCAGTAAATGGCACATGCATTGTCAGTAAGAGTGCACTGAATTTTGAACACTTTTGGGATGCTAAATGTCTAACTGCATCCTCTTGCCATGAAAAGGAATGTGAATAATCATCAATAATATTGACACGGATCTCTATACTTAAAGGGCTATCTGAACGCACTGTAATTATTAAATTTTGTAAGATCTCGAAACAAAATAATTAGTTGTTTCTGACATCACACACAAACGGGAGAGAATCTTATTATGCTAGAATCAGCACCAATGAGATGTCACATCCAGATTTGCGCTTTACATGTAGAATACAAAGAGTCAGAAAACTATAGTTCAAAAGTAATTTTGCGATGAGTTCACCTCAAGAATGAGAACTACCTTTCAACAGCAAGTTTGACTTGGGTTATAGTCAAGTGAAGAGATTAACTAACAGGAATAAGAACAATGAGCAATATATTCAGAATAAACCAAGAATTAAGAATGAAGAGCAAGGATGTTGTCTTACTTCATCTTGAAGACCTTTATAGCATCCTCGTTGTGATTGACTACTATGATACAAGGAAATCTATAGCTAGAGGTATTATTAATCTTAGCATGAGCATCACTTCCTACTGCCACAGCAAGAAAAATTGCACAGTGCCCTAATCCGTGCCATTCCCTTTTAACAGGCTATACTCTAGAAGGTCACACCATGCAGCCCACTTGTTCTATGCACAAGTAACTGACAATCATTCAATATGCAGCAGAGTTGCATCATAATACCATACATGATGTCCAGGATGTTCAGAGAAGCAATAATCCTAATCCAAAGGTCTTACCTAGTCATGCAAAGCCATGAGAGGATTCAACAGGAAGAATCAATGCATGCAGATCTAATGAGAAGCTTGAGTAACATGAGACTTGTGAGGCTTTGGAGCTGAAATCCAAATATTAGCATTCAGCATATATCTATAATACTTAAACAAATCATAAATTCCACAATGTCATAAACAGCAAATAAATAGAAAAAGATGGAAAAATGGCGAAGAGAAATGATAGTCATGTTACAGGGTTCTATGAAACAGAGAAGAAAACGAAATTCATTTTATCATTGCGTAGACAAATTATTTCAAGGCCATCTTTTCTGTATGTATGAGTCTCCAAAGCTTACTAATTATCTCAGAAGCATGAAAAGGTTATAATCTGATCAGTCTCTTGAAATATTTGCAACTGAAGAGCTCAAATTCGAGAATTTGCTCGACCAAGAACCCTATAGGTTTAGTAATTCACGATAGGGATCAAGGACGAAGATACTTCTCCTAACAGAGTCTAACCAACAGATTATCAACTAACTTCATCTCTAAACAAAGGACAAGATGTTTCATTTCTCAGATGGCAATCCGGCTAAGAATACCCAGTCTAGAGAAAAGCTAGATTTGATAAACAGGGCATCTGAAAATTGGCCAAAAGAAAAGACTGGGTTTCTGAAACTCTACCTTTTTGTTTACTAGGCAAGTTCTATGCCTATTCATAGCAACCATTACATGGCTGAACGCCACTCCACTGAAGCAACTATACTTAGTGTCGGTCTGGACAAGTGTACCCACCATCTCAAGATGTGCACCTTATCCTTGATGTGTCAAACTTCTGAATGGATTCTTATGCAGCCAACGACCCACTAATTCTATGCTACCAATTTTATTATCCTTTATATAATTACAAACAATTCCACTGGGCCAGTTTTATTTACCTGGAATCTGGGTAGATAATTCTCCAGACCAACGGTACAACAACATATTTTACTGAAAAAAACCATTTACATATGGACGCGAGAGAGAGAGAGAGAGAGAGAGTTGTTCAGCAAGATTTCCAAAATTACGGAAAGTCCCAGCTACAGTTCTCTCTAGCTGGTTGAGAGAATTGATTGAAAAGTAGAATTAAAATGAGGCTTCCTGAATTCTTCTCAAGCAATATGAATGGGGATGAGTGCTAGAAAGACCATAGCATTAGATTTTGAAAGAGCTTTATTCGGAGGGGTCCTTCAGGGAGATGTTGCTAGCAGGCATAATGCTCAAGTTCATTGATTGATAAAGTAAACTTTGGTTTGTAAGGTAGAATTGCTCTATTATGCTCATAAAGGCCTCTTAAAGAGTGCATTTAATTAGGGGTCCATTGAAAAAGAACGATCATTTCCCTGAGGTTATCCAATGTAAATAGCTGCTAACTACAAGATTATAGCATTCTTTTGAACAGACAGTTCATCTGGTTAAAATGGTTGATCGTCGTTCATACCATCTGGGTTTCCTCATTCATAAAAATCTTGAAGAAGAGAAATCGCTTCTGATGCCATTATACCTCCACAACATTTGAAACACTTTGATCCAGAATTTCCATTACTGCAAGAGAAACAAGAAAAAAGTTGGAAACATTCATAAATCGGGTAGACACATGAAAGGGGAAACATAGATGAAATTTATGTGAAAACCACCCAATGACAGATTCCATTTGCAAAACATGTCCAAATATCAAGCAAGATATAATTTAGCAGACTAATGAAAGCACTTTGCAAAAGAAGGTGCCATCTAGGCAAAAACAAGTTCACCAATAAAGGAATGTGCTCAACGTAGGAAGTTTACGCTTAGGTCCTAAGAATATCAATTTTAAGAAATGTCTGTACTCCAGGAAATAGGTTTTCAGGCAAGTAAATTATCTCTGAAGTGTACCCTATGACAAACAATAGCTGTAAACAGGGGATACTTCGGGGCTTTTAACATGGATGGCAAGTTCTCTTCAGAGAGATATTGGCATGGGGAATCTGATAGAGAGAAGATTTGCAAATGACTTGTCTACTAATACTGGCTAGGATCGGTTTCAATTAGCTACATCTTCCAAACATTGCATATGAACCATGCTCACCGTTATAACAACTGTCTCATTCTCTCTAACATGAAACTATGCAATGATTAGGGCTAGTTTTTGAGCTCCACACGGTGGAAATTGAGCAAGGTGGTACTTTATCTGAAAGATGCGTCCTCTTGCTTGATGTCCTATTCAGAAAGGCAATGAGCTAGTTCATATTTCCCACAATACTTTTGACTTCTAATCAGACTCTTAAGAGCAGCATAAGTATCAATTTCTTGCTTTAAAAGTTAGAGTTTTCATGGCTTATTTTTTTCCCCCTAAAATTTTTCACTCATACTTACTCTTTCTTCTTCCTTATAACCAGATTATCAAGAGCAGCATATGTATCAATCTCTTGCTCTAAAATTTTCATGGCTTATTTTTTCCCCCCTAAAATTTTTTACTCATACTCTTGCTCCTCCAACACCCCACCCCACCCCCCCTCCCCTCCTCCCCGTACTTGAGTTTCTTCTTTCAAAACTGATAATTCAACAGAAAGACATTGTCTGTAATCTACATTAGCTACTCCATGTACTGCTCAAATCACAATGAAACAGATCTTATTTCATTACGTTTTTAGCTTTTATGTCGACAAAGTCTGAGTAAAAAATTGATGACTTCTGGACAATCTCAGGAAACATGAAATGTTAGATCATGGCAGCGTTAGACAGATGAAAAATCATAATGGAAATACATGCCATACACCACAATTTACCAAGCACATGCCCTCATGTATGCAAGAGGAGACAATTGCAACTAATAAACAAGAAAAAGAGATTTCTTTATTAAGTACATTGCCCATGACATATCAAAAAGCATAATTTCCTCATAGCTCAATCATATTTCTTTGAAGATGCTATATTTCCCGCTTTAAACTTGATAACATTAAAGACATCAAAGAATCTCACTGCAATGGAAAAAAGCGAGGAAAATGAGATGAAGAAACAGGGGGGGAAAGAGAAATGGAAAGAACAAACTAATGTTACCTTAACTTGCAGTACTTCCCAGAACAGTAAATGTTTAGGGCAAAACAAAAAAGGAAATATCTAACAAGTCGCATAGAATTAAAAAAAAAAAAAAGGAAACTCGACTTTCTTCCATTTAGACTTGGAAAAGGACAGAAAAGGTGAAAAATTATTTTCCATAAACCTCCATTTGTTTTCATTGTTATGTGTCCTAATATTCAAAGTGCGACAACAAGCAGAATTACTACGAAACCACATCCATCAGTAATAAACATAAGGAGTCACAAACCTGTGGTAAGCTTTAGTTGTCAAATATCATATGTCACAATTTCAAAGTGGAGCTACGTAGATACCAAATCAGCACAAAAGCAAGTTCAGAAACTGACCTAATGGATAGCTCAGAGCTACTTGAATGCATCGGCAGTATTGAACCATAGCCTCCAAATTTATCATTTGCACAGCCATTTTTATACCTAAAAATGGCTAAGATTCATCTAATCATTTATGACTAATCAAATTTTATGAAAGTTTAGTTTTATTTCAGTATGATCAACAGATGTATCAATGATCGATAATGCTGCTGCACACATTATGCATGGTTCACATGTCACATAAAGAGAGCATGCTGAAAACCTCTCTGCAACTTCTGCAGATGAAAATCTAGTCCTCCGCCACTATTCAAAAAGAACGTCAAGTGCTTCCATTTCTACATGTCTTGTTGCCTAGGAATGCGCAAGGAGAAAAATAAAGAAAGCATATCAAACTTAGGAGCTTTGTAGAGAGAAAGTTGCTCTTATTGTAGTATCAACATAAACTTAGGAAATGCATTTCATGAAAAATGTTTTCTCCTTCACGTTTATTTATTTTTTACTCTTGCTTAACATTTGATTCCAAATCTATTTCATCTTCAAATTGCCTCTTTCGTATCTGCTCCATGTTGACTATACTTTCAAGGCTTGAATTATGTTCAGCCTTTGCTCGGTCTGCAGACTAAGTGGGGAAAATTACAGTGTGTACATTGTATCGTAGGGACAGGATTTTCATCAGAGCCAATTGCATTAGATCATGACTCCAATTGGAAGAACCACTGTCTTTAAGACAGATTCGTCAACACACCTTATCCGGAATTTCAGTTCTTTCTTCAAATACCCACAACACTAAGAGTCTAAGAGAGGATCTTATGCGTGAAGCATGGACAACTCTTGTTGCTCTTCAATGTGAAGGTGTGGACATTGTTTGAAGAGCATTCTCCTTACTATTAGGTGTTCGATCTAATTTCTAGTACTCAAGCGTTATATTCTTTGAAATTTTATGTGAAATTGCAGTTATCCTCCCTATCCCTGAGATTTTGCAAAGTCTCTTAACTCGCTTCCCATACCTTTAGAATTTTGCATCTCTCTCTACATCTTTTTAATCAAGAGAGGTGAAGCCACGATAACAACTCACTCTTCTGTAATGTAAAGAATAAACATGTACTCAGAATAATCTATAAATTTATAATCTGTTTTAGGCAATCAGTACTCATTGACATATTCAAGCATGCAATACAACACAATCCATGAGCAGTCAACATTCTGGTCCAGCAGCTTGCAACGGCTTTATATCTTTCAAAAAAATAAATGTCATTCCCCAATTTTCTCTCTCCTCATTGAACCTTTTTCTTTGACTGTTCTTGGTCCAAAATTCAGACAGAGCACAGTGGCAAATGAGAAACATGAAACATTGTACATAGTAAACCAAGATTCTTGCTATTGTTAGCTTTAGTCATATTTTATGAAAGAATAATGGGAACAAAACCATTTACAGACTAATAATGCACAGAAAATTCCACTTTTTAACAGATTTGTTCAGATATACTATTTTATCATATATTATAGAAATATTTAAGGCAGAAACACAAAAAAGATCAACAATAACTACGAGTGGATAATGTGAGGGTATCAATTCAGAACAACAACAAAGTGCCGCCGGCCAAAATTTATATAAAGGGGTGGAGAAGCAATGATAGACATACATTCTGTGTCTCATTAGTCCTGTTTCTTCCTGCCACAATAAGATGCCCTTCCTCAACAATCACACAGCTGTTCATTCAAAGTATAATTTAAAAAAAGTACAACATGAAATCATTTATTAATTAGGACTAAAAATACTAATCATCTTAATTAGAAAATAAAGTAGTAGCATATCTGAGATGCACCTGGTTACTGAAAATCTGTTTCTTACCCAACTGGAACTTCAAAGCTGTCCAAAGCAAGCTTTGCCTTCTATCAGAAAAGCAAATTGGTCTTGTTACTTGTTCGGAGGAAAAATATGAGTATAAGAGTTTGAATTTCCCTCGTACGTGCATACAGGCAATTCAAGGGGAAATCAGCATCAAGTTGCCAGCAGTAGAAATATCTCAGTATCAGTATGCAGCTACTAATGGAATGAATCCATGTCTCATAGCTATATCATCAAGATCTTGCAGGTCATGTATAATATACTGGTCACAAATTTCCAAGTAATGATTATTAGTACATACTCATCCTGTAATTCAGATGCAAATCCCACCTAACACTTAAACTGACATGGCTGTAAGAACACCAAAGCAAAAACAGCAGCAAATTTGAGAAACTACATGTTGCTCACTCCGGTGCATCTTATTATTGGTACCTCAGAAGTTTATCTTTCATTAATCAGGTTCCACTAAAACATTCAAGAAGCTTCTGGGAGTTTTAGTTTGTAGCTCAATTTCCTTCATAAACGCTGTGGAACATAAGGATAAAAAGAGAACTTTAAACTGTTGCAAAGGCCACAGAAATCAGAATTGACAATCAGCTTCGTGTGCTTTTGTCTCTATTCAACAGAACAATTTATGCAAACACCGTGTTTCTCATGATTCTTTTCTTTTTCATATGAACAGTCCACAGGGCGAGAGTAAATAACCACCTAACCAGTTATCCATGGGCACAAGCCGATGTTCATATTACTGTCGTGCCCTAACTAGAATTGGTTTTATTTCTCCCCAGTTGCCAAAGTCAAAAAGGGGTAAAATGACTCGACTGTCAAGCAATACTTCGTGGTGGCTTGCCATCTCACTGCAACTTCTTCATCCCTCTATAGTTTCGCCTCTTCAAGTGCCTGACAAAACTTAGCCAAAGAGTCCTATCCTAGTGATCGAAGTTTCTCAAAATTCAATTGTCCTGGCAAACCTGTCACCAGCTGCACATCTTTATGATAGGTACATACTACATTTCCCAGACATGTCAAAAGCACCCCCAAAATCTCTCTCTCTCTCTCTCTCTCTCTCTCTCTCTCTCAAGAAAAGCTATACCTTCTAGAGATTGTCACAGATTTTGCAGCGTCTAACGTCGATTACCAATGAATTCACTACCAATCATCCACAGACAAATCTTACAAAGAAACACTAGTTCAACATCTCTCAAACAAATTGAACGACACATTAATCGGGTCCCCACGCAATAGTAGCACCAAACGAATCGAATTCAAAATCCAGCTCAAGTATCACATCAACTAATACAATTCGGATGTGCCAGGCTTTACCTGATCCATAGCATGCTGAACAAAGCCCAAAACCTCAGGAGAGAATGGTTCACCCGAAGCAACGTCATCAGTATCCATTGATTCGGACGGCGGTGGTAGTCCGTCGCCTCCGCTCGCCGGCCTCCGTCGCCGTGGCTTCGATAAAGACTCTGTTTTAGGGAGACGAACTTCTTCTTCTATTCATCGCCTCCATCGGCAGGTGGCGATCTTACATTCGTCAGAGCTCGGTGGTGTCGGATGGAAGAGGAGCAGTCGTGACGTTGAAAGTGGCATCGGTGGAGTCCGAAGTTTGCCCATGGCAGAGAAAAGAGGATCCCCCAAAAGAAGAGAGAAAAACTAAATACAAAGAAAAGTGACAAAAGAGAAGAAAGAACAACAGGATTTTAGTTAGGATGTACAGTTAACTTGGGCAAAAGTAGGTACTAACAGCGTGTTACCGGTTTTTCTGAGAAAGGAAAACAAGAAGGAACAAGAAGAAAGAAGGCATTTTAACCAAGATCAGCTGATTTTACTGACCTACGAATTGCTTCCTTGGCAAGTTTCCATCATTCTGACAACAAAAGCTGTAAGCCAACAACGCCACCGTACTCATCTCCACCAACCGAATTGGAAGTCAACATAGTCTTGGTTCGTATGCCTTGAGTGAGAATAGGATTATGATTTCTCTTTGGCGCTATTTGACTATACTTCTTGGTGCTTATTTGACAGTCTTCCAAGTCTTTCTGCAAATCTATTTCAGTCTGAACTAGTGAACTCTCAGCTTCTGAATCTGTTGAGTCATGACTAACTTCATAGAGGAAAGCTGGATCAATTAGCTGATTGTCTTGAAGCACACCCTCTAAATCGTCATCTAATTGCTTGCATATTATTCGGAATCCCAACTTTTTTATGATTTTGCCGGATATTGCAAGGTGAAATTGTGCATAACTCCCCTCAATTTGATCAAAATCGACTACTCCCCGTGGTTTAGAAGGTATATAGCTAAACCAGATATGATCCGAATCCAACAATCCGAAAATATTTTCGATGGTTAGCCGACGTTTGCCGTTAACACTAAGTGTAATCTTAGCTGAGTGTTGCTTTGTCTCGTTATCAGTTTTAACAACGGCACAGAGAGCAAATCCAAGAAATTTGTCATACAAGTCCTTTGAAGCCATGAAAGATATGAAATCCTCTTTAACAGGGATGACCCACTTTGGCATATCTCCTCCAGGGAGCGAGGCAAAGAAACCACGACTATTCTGTTTTAAGAAAACCGTTAGAATGTACCCAAATTTGTTATTCATAACCAAATAAATGAATTCAATTGGAGTTTAGTAAGCAATCCATTTCGAACTAGAGCTCTAAAATGAGTAGAGATTCACTGATCCATGCTTGCATTAATGTACAGGTCTCATGCGATAGAAATCATTCCCATAAAAGTACGGTAGCTGCCCTTTTCTTAAGCCTCAAATCTTGCGTTTTCTGATTTTGCAATATACAAGCACACACTACAGCACGCACATACTCCACATGAATGAGCGCATGAGAGAGAGAGAGAGAGAGAGACATACTCCACATGAATGAGCGCATGAGAGAGAGAGAGAGAGAGAGAGAATCTAACCTGGTTACGTGAGAAAATATGATCCATGGTAAACACTCTTCGGACAAAATCATGAGATGAAGTAAATTTTCCAATCTTTTGCAGAGATTCGCAATTAACCGCCCTAAAAAAATCCAAAAATGGTGGAAGCTCAAGAATCTCTTGTAATTGATGGCAATCTTGAACTTCCAAAAAGGTCAAACTATCACGCTTATTGATGGATGTGGGAAGGCTAGTAATTTTGTTCTCCGACAGAACTAAACAATCCAACAAGGGAAAACATGAAAGATTCTCAAGAAATTTTACTTCGGACAGATTACATCCCCTAAGGTTCAAGTAGAGTAACTTTGGAAGTCCAGTCTTCATGTGTGGATCAGCTAAATCCTCGTACTTTGGAAACCCGAATAATTTTGTGCAACCCTCAAGAATCAACTTTTCAATGTTTTGTAACTTGTAAATGCTAGACGGAAGACTTACGAGGTTCTTGCAATCACCTACATTCATTCTCTCCAAAGAGACTAGATTTTCTATTGATGTAGGAAGTTCTCTAATAGCGGTCCCTTGTAAAGCAAGCTCTTTTAGGCCTAATTTTTGTGGAATATCAGGGAACCTTCCAAGTTTTGTGCAATTTGCAAGATGGAGAGCTCGAAGATTTCTCGACTTGAGCTCATTTGGGAAAACGCTAAGTTCAGAGCACCCCTTTAAAGTCAAAACCTGTAAATTGTCATGATATGCAATAGACTCGTGTGCTTCTACCAAATTTTTGCAATTCTCGAGATTCAATTCCTCGAGATTTGGAGCACATGAGAGGTCGGGCATACTAATCAGCATCTCACATTCACTTAAATTCATGTACTTCATATTTGGGAAGTCCTGCAAAAACAGCAAAACCAACTTTGGTAAACATTTTAAAGTGATTTTAATATTTTGTTATTCCTTTCATCAATTATCCTCAATAACTTATATCACAGATATTATACCCATGGACAAATACATGAAGTTGGTTATTCTATTTAATCTCTCACGTGATTAAAATTAAAATTTGAATTTTCTTATGATCCAATGACCTTCATAAAAACTTTCAAATTTTGAAATATTTTTCTCTTTCGACAAGTTCCTTCGTTCCGTCTATTTTAACAACAAATGTTTCCATTACATATTTCTAATAAAGTTATTTAGCTTAATTTTTCAAATGCCAATTTTGATGCATGTAAAAATATTTCAAACAGCAAGTTATTAGGGTCATTTTGAAAGAAAATAGAGAAGTGATTTCTAAAACATAGGAATACCACTTCCTTTTGTGTACAAGTACACGTAACAAGCATATACACATACAAATGAAATAAATAATAAAAAGGTCTATGTAGGTAAATCCTCACCGTAAATTGTTTTAGCACTACTGTGATGCTGCTTTTGCTCACATCAAATCCCACTAATTTATTTCGACCAGAGGAAAATTCTGGAACGGAGGGAGCACATCCAGGCCATTCAAACCATCTAAGCTCATGAGAAAGACATAAAGGACCTTGGAAAGCATTATGCACATTGTGCATGATGAGTAATCTCAATTTTCTCATTTTTGTAAAAGCATCAGGACCGATATACATGTCTGTCGGCTCAGGTAGCTCCAACACTATGGCTTTTACAGCACAATCTCCCTGTACATACAAGATTATTTAGGTTATGCATTTTTAGTAATTAAAGTCAAAGATAAGAAGCACAATTTTGATCGTGTTCGCAGGTCTTACCATGTCACGTGACAAAACATCAACAACATCATCATATAGCCATAGCCTAGTGCGTCTTCCGGGATCATCGCGACATTCTTGTTTCACAATATCCATACCCATCAATTGAATTAAGTCATGCATTTCTAGGATTTTGGTCTCAATTCTTATCAAGGACCTCTTAATAAGAATTTCGAATCCTACAGCTGTCTGGAGATCGCAACTGTTGAGAACCTTGTTTGTATACTCTCTTTCCTGCCCCTTAAAGAAGCAAGCAATGTGGAGAAAGATCTCTTTCTCATTTTCATCTAGTCCATCGTAACTCATTTTGAGCACATTATTAATGGTTTTGTTAGGAATCCTAGAAAGTTTCATTAGTGTACTTTCCCATATGTCTTCCGATGTACCACATAATAAGGAACCCAACACCTCAAGCGCTAAAGGGAGGCCTTTACAATAATTCAGAGCACTATCCACTAGATCTGTTTTGATTTGGTGCTTCTGAAAAGCATGCTTACAAAGCAGCTCATGAGCTTGATTGTCATCTAGTGCTTCAACTTCATACACATGATCTTGATTTATCCCGTGACAAGTTAGCAAATGTTTATCTCTTGTGGTAATAATGATCCTACTCTCATTACCAAACCACTTGCCTTCTCCTGCTAAAGCATTTAATTGACGCAAGTCATCGACGTCATCAAGGATGAGGAGAACTTTCTTGCAACCAAGTCTGTGTTGTATTATATTAATACCTTCATCGACGTTGGACACTTGTAATTTTTTTTTTAGTAATAATATATCTTTTAGTAATATTTCTTGCAAATTAACTAGACCCGTGCTACCTTTTGAAGTTTCTCGAACATTTGCCAGAAAACATGAACCCTCAAATTGTCTAAATATAGCATTGTAAAGAGCTTTTGCTAAACTTGTCTTCCCTATACCTCCCTGTCCCCATAATCCCGCCATGAGAATACCATCATCAGACTCCAGATTTAACGTCGATTTCAACTTAATCACTTGGGAATCTATCCCAACCGGGTGCTTAGCAACATGCAAAGGTTTTCGGTCTAGGTGATTAGAGATCTCCTTCACAATTTTTTGTATAAGCTTTGATTCATCTCTGTCAAAAACAGAAAAAGAAGTTGGAGCATCATATGAGCAATCATAAGCTAATAATGATAAAGCAATGCATCACATTTTCAGATTATAGATATATATATCCACCTAGTTGAATTAGAACTCCAAGAGCTCCACACCAATCAAAACAACCATTCCGGGGTTCAACTTTTAGTCATCCAAGTGATTCATGCTCTTTTGATTTATATATGACGATTTACTTAGTTTTGCTTTTGACTTTTATATGTGATATATCTATACACTTCATCAAAAAGAGCTATTTAGGACTTTGAAAACTATTAAATACCCTAAAGCACTGTGTCATTGCCTTACATGGCCTATACACACTAATTATCTTGTAACTGACCTTGCGAGCTTTCTTACTCCTTCCAAAGAAATGGGGTAGGTGCAATAACACTACTTAACATTTTATCCATTGGTAGATCAAGTATTAACATATTATAGTTGACATCATGTGTGTCGATTCATTTATTCTTTTTTACA